ATTAAATGCAATAGTTTTTTTTGTCATCATTTTTTATTTTTGGTGTGGGCCACAACGGGACGGTCCACTAGCTCTTTTTTTGCCTCACTTGTAGGAGAACGTGTCGAACCCCGGTTGCAAGTGGAACAACGTAATTGCACAACGATGCTCTTGGCAAATGCAATAGTTAAAAATCGAACACAACACTTGTCGACACATAAATTTAAAATTTGATCACCAATATACAAAAACAAAATTCTATATATTAGACCCATACATTTAAAATTTATCAGTGATATACAAAAAAAAATTTCTAAATATTAGACTGATATACAAAAACTTTTTTTCTAAACTGTTAAATTATATTTTAGTTAGATTCTCAAGTACATACTTGGCCTGTTTGAACTCAGGACCAAACCTGATTATATACATCATCAATCAAAACATTTATTTACATCAAAATCGATAGCAATTTACATCCACTGCGAATTTGTTCTATTGTTATTAATTAGAAAACAGTTTAACAAAAACAGAAAATGTGAGTTAAAAGAAGTACCATAATAATGAATCCATAAAAGACCAAAAGACGGTCCACAAGCAGTAAGGGAGACTCTGTCATGGACCACGTGACTTTGTCAGTCCAACCCGGACCCGCTTTCCCCCTAACCCGGACCGACAAAACCCATCTCTAGCCGCTCCTTCCAAAATCTTTAACCGTACACGTGTCATAATCTCTACCAGACTACCTTCATCTACTGAATCTAATCTAAAGTTACCGTTAAAAAGTACAACTGTATATCTAAAAAATACCGTCCTCGGGAGCTACATTAGAAGTTTTAACTTTTTCCTAACTCTTTCCTCCTCCCAAGATTCCTACTAATTGTTTTGTGATTGTTCCCATTTACATTCGCATTATTTAATTAGCATTATAATATTTGTATAATGGTGATAGTTACGAGTCACTTTCTCCCCACGTACAAATGATTAATATTTTTACACCAATTTCACAACCCAGATCTGAGCGTTACTATAAACCACATTTACAGTGTTTTTTCTTAAAACAAAAACAAACTGTGGGTGGGGCTAAATGATTCTATGCCATTCCTATAGAAAAAAACAGAGTGAAATTGAAGTTTTAAAGACTATCATATTCTCTCGTCTATACAACAACCCATCTGGCATTAATGTATCATCTCTCACTTCATCAAGTTGGGTCTACGAGAGAGTGACGACTCTTTGATTGCTTCGCCACATCTTTTCATTATATCCTTCCAAGTCATTATCTCTCTCTAATGGTTTCTGATTTTAGGAAGTTATAACTTGTAATAGATCTCTTGTTTTATTACATTTCATTTGGAGATGAGATCTCAAGGTGTTGAAGATAACAAAGGGTGGCTTGGACCAGCGACTCCGGAGATTTCAAACGGAAATGGAACCATCGGCTTTGAGTTTCAGAAAGGTGCGAACCGGACACCTAACCATCACCGGTCAACCATGGGAAAACCGGCGCCGTCAAAATGGGACGACGCTCAGAAATGGCTCTCCGGCGTGGGGTTTACTCGTGGCGGCGGCGGAGGAGGAGGGGAGAAGGGTCACCACTCGAGGAGTTGTAAACCGAGAAACTCAAACGCCGATGATCTTAGACTCATAGCTTCGGCTTCGCAGAGAGAAAGAGAAGGAGAAGATCAGTACGTGGAGTACGACGAGGACGAGACGGCGGCGGGAAGGCCGGAGGTAGAGACCAAGAACGTAGACTTTGGAGAGTCTGGTGGTTCGGTTTGGAGGAAAGAGAGTATTAATCCGACGGCTGTGATTCGATCGGTTTGTGTGAGGGATATGGGGACTGAAATGACTCCGATCGGTAGCCAAGAGCCTTCTAGAACAGCTACGCCGGTTCGAGCCACGACGCCGGTGGCCAGAAGCCCTGTGACGTCACCTGTGAGGGCAACGCACGGTGTGGAGGCAGTGAGGACGGCAACGGAGACGGTAACCGTGACGGAGGCTATAAGCATAGCGAGTCGTAATAATGTGCAGAGTAGCTTTGGGGATAGTAAGAAGGCAATGAATGCTATGGAAGCTCGAGCCATGGCTTGGGACGAAGCGGAACGCGCTAAATTCATGGCTAGGTGATTAACATTTAATTAATTAATGACTGGTTTAGTTGGTGTTAACGTGGCTTGATTAGTTATCAGTATTAACGTTAATTAATTAATGACTGGTTTAGTTGGTGTTAACGTGGCTTGTTTAGTTATCAGTGTTTGAGATTTTGTTTTTATCGGAATGGAATTAGGTACAAGAGAGAGGAAGTGAAGATTCAGGCTTGGGAGAATCATGAGAAGAGAAAGGCGGAGATGGAGATGAAAAAAATGGAGGTAAGATTATCAAATGGAAGAATATTGCACATTTCCAATCCGAATTTCGGTTCGGTTTTTTCGGTTTTTCGATTAAGAAATGTATCAAAATTACTGCTAAACCAAGTGGATAAGTATAAACGGGTTTGGTTCGGTTTAAACGGTTTTGATTCGGATACAATTTCTAATTAAATATTCGGTT